TCGCCCGACAAGGTTCGTGTTCTTGGATTACGAAACACGGACGTCAAGTTGCTGTCGTCCGTCATGAATCGTGCTCTCCAACCTCTCATCCATCATATCGTCCCGCCTTGCCAACGGGGGTTCGTCGGTGGTCGCAATTTTGGAGTCAACATCCTGGAGCTGGATGCGCATGCTCGCGAGCTTTCGGTGGGCCCTCCTGGTTCGTCCGACATCCCGCTTCTTTTCTCGCCCGACTTCGGCCATGCGTTCCCCTCTCTCAATCAGGAGTTTATGGCGTTTGTTCTTCAGGTGCTGGGGCTTCCCGAGACCTTCCAGGCTTTTGTCTCATTCCTCTACTCGGCCATCCAGGGCGTGGCCTCGGTGAATGGGGACTTTGTACCGATCTTTTGGATTCGCAGTGGAATTATTCAGGGCTGCGCGCTCTCGGGCTCCCTCTTCGCCCTCGCAACCTCTGCCTTCCTCAAGGACCTAGTGTTCTCCTTGGAGCCCTCTGGTCGCGGGTTGGTTCGGGCTTGCGCTGACGACATCGGCGGTGCGACTCGGTCTGTGGCGGACCTTGTTCCTGTGCATCGGGTGATGGTCTTGGCTGAAATGTTCGCTAACCTCTCCCTGAAGCTCTCCAAGTGCCTCCTGGTCCCCCTCTCGGGCGTCTTCTCTGAGGAGCTGGCTGCTGCTGTGGCCGAACAACTTCGAGTATGGGTCCCTGAGTGGGCCTCCTTTGGCGTTGTGGAGGAACTACAATATCTTGGGCTCTGGCTTGGTCCCTCAGTGACCGTTGAACGTCAATGGCGTGCTCCATTGGCCAAGGTACAGCATCGGGCTCAAACTATCGGCCGTGGGACAACCCCGCCCAGTCTGTCGGCCATACTCTACTGCACACGTGCGGTTCCGACATTGTCGTATGTCGCTCAGTTCTGCCACATGCCGCTTGCCGTCCTCCGCCTGGAGCTCATGACCTTGGCGCAGGTCTTCCGTGTGGCTCTGGGCGCGTTCCCGCTTTCGTGCTGGTCTCTACTTCACGCTTGGGGAGGCCCTCGCATCACCCGCTGGGCCTTCATGGGATGTGCGGCGCTTGCCCGCGCAGCTCTTCATACGTTCCCGCAGTTCAACGACATTCACAATCGGCTCCGACATCACGTGGCTGCTCATCCTGACTGGTGCACTCTGGAGATGGTTGGTTCTGGCAGATGCTACCCGCACTTCTGGCGCTCGGAGGCGTTCGTGGAGATTCTCCAGCGCGCGGCTGCTGGTACCCGCACTGGCTCGCCTTCTCCTTGCTGGTCCCCTGACTGGCCGTCGGTTGCCGCGGTCGCGGCGCGTGCGGCGTTGGCAGACGCGGCGGCCCATCGCCCTCGCCCTCAACGCGCTGCTCATGCTGCTCTCCGTGCTCTCGGCCCTGCCATCTCGCCGCTGGTGTCCCTGCTCCAGACTCGCCTCGCCAAGCTGCTCCCGCGGCACGCCTCCCTGGTCGCCTCCCTCCCGCGGGACTCAATCGCGAGCACGCTGGCCTCCTGCCCCTGTTCCTGGGCCTGGGCTGCGCTTCGTACCTGGGCGGATGGTTGGGTGACATCGCACCGCATCCTGCACCCCCTTGGCAAGCGCCGCTGTGCTTTCGGGTGCCCTGGCTGCCCCGACGCCCTTCGACACTACGCCCGACGCCGCCCCTTCCACAACGCTATACGTCGAGCTCTGGCGCGCCCTCTACCTCTTCCTGTGCTTCATCGGTGGGGGCTGCTGGAACCAAATCTGCCCGCCTTTCACTTCCTCGCGGTCGCCTACGCGGCCTACAACGCGGCCAAGGGCGTGGAGAGTCCGCATTCTCCTGTGCTTTGGCTGGGGTGCGCTCTGCCGCCTTGGCGCGGCCCGCTGGGATTTCGGCCCGAGACCGAGTGCTGCTTCGTCCGCGCCGCACGTGTCCCGCACCCTCGTCTTCCTCAACTTCCTATGCGAGCTCATCTGCGAGTCGCTCGCCGAGGTTGACGCCGCCTGTCTCTGTCTCGTCATGCCGCTCTACGTCGCCACCTGCTCGGGAGTCTGCTGGTGGCCTCACTCCTGCTGTCTCCTCGCCGTCGACGCCCCCGACCGAGATTGCTACCGACCCCGAGGACGTGGAGTCTCGTGAGCAGGAGTGTCCATCCCAGACCCAGAGACGGAGCCCGTCGATGTCGATTTCCACCCTGCCGAGCTCATCGGCACCCACTCAACGAAGTCAGATGTCGCCGCCGAGTCAGAGGTTGCCTTCTCTGTCGGCTCCGAGTGTGTCCTCGGCTCTGAGTGCCTCGCCATCGACTTCTCTGATGTCATTGCAGTTCCCTTCTGCCCGTGACCGCCCCGCTCCTCTGTGCGCTTCGTGTCCACCGCCCTGTCATCTCTCTTGCGCTTCATCTGCCGCTCCCTCTTCGATTGCTGATCGTTTTCATTCTGTGTTTGACCCCTCTGGGGCTTGCAGAGCCTCCATAGATCACGCCATGACAGAGTCTCTTGGCCGCATTTCTCGCCCTCCTCTTTCTCCCTGTCCTCGGTTGAGCCTCCCTGGTGCTGCTGCTGCTGGCCCTCCCGACTCTCTCTCTCTCTCTCTCTCTCTCTCTCTCTCTCTCTCTCTCTCTCTCTCTCTCTCTCTCTCTCACGCCGCCTGCGTCCTCGGCGGATGCGCCCCCGCTGCGGCCTGGGCGCAGCAATGGCCGCTTGCCCCAGCGCCAGCCGCGGCGATAGGCAGGCAGGACTGACCTCTCTTACGCTGGTCTCCTCCTCCTCCTCCTCCTCCTCCTCCTCCTCCTCCCCTTGGCATGGAAGCCGCACTCTGCGTGTTGCCCCAAGCCAGGCTCGGAGAGGCAACAGCTGTGCTGAGAGCTTTGCAGAAGTTCGAAGTAGAAATTACTCACTGCGTGGAGGTCCCCATATGTGTATCTGATGTTTTATGTCATGCTATAGTGAGCGTCTGTTCACGAGCGTTTGACTATACTAGCGCGTCCACATGGGCGACAGGGCCGACGAAGACGAGTGAATCCTAATGCGAGTGAGTGAGTATGAGTCAGAGTGAGCTTTGAGTATGATTGGAAATGAGCCTCCCATTCATTCCCCCTCAGCTGCCAGGCCATGCCCTCCTCAGCCTGTGGTAATGTGCATATGTTTTAGGATAGTTGGCAGTGGGATGTATAAAACGAGCGCCAGCGCTCGTTTTACAGGCCGCGAACGGGCCCGTGTCCTACCCCCTGGCGGCTCTCCTTAGGGATGCTGAAACCAGCGCCCCGCCTGAGACATCCTCAAAATCTGTCCTGAATGCCAAGGATGTTGGGCATGAAAAGCGAGCAAACCGCCTGAGACATCCCCGCAAACTGGCCGCGAACGGGCCTGTGCAAACATCCCTGGCGGCTCCCCTTAGTGCTGAAGCCAGCGCCCCGCCTGAGGCATCCTCAGAAACTGACCTGAAAGCCAAGGATGATGGGAATGAGAACGAGCAAACCGCCTGAGACATCCATCCCCTACGAAATGGCCGCGAACGTGCCTGTGCAAACACCCTTGGCGGCTCCCCTTAGGGGTGCTGAACCAGCGCCCCGCTTGAGACATCCTCAAAACCTCTTATGAAAACCAAGGATGTTGAGCATGAACACGAGCAAACCGCTTGAGACACCCCAGCAAAACGGCCGCGAACGGGCCCGTGCAAACACCCCTGGCGGTTCCCATGAGGGGTGCTGAAACCAGCGCCCCGCCTGAGACATCCTCACACACTGCTCTGAGAGCAGAAGATGTCGAGCATGAAAACAAGCAAACCGCTTGAGACATCCGCACAAAATGGCCGCGAACGGGCCAGTGCTAACACCCCTGGCGGCTCCCCTTAGGGGTGCCGAAACCAGCGCCCCGCTTGAGACATCCGCACAATCTGCGCTCCAAACGAAGGATGTTGAGCACGAAAACAGGCAAACCGCTTGCGACATCCCCACCAAAATGGCCGCGAACGGGCCCGTGCAAACACCCCCGGCGGCTCCCGTTAGGGGTGCTGAAACCAGCATCCCGTCTGAGACATCCTCCAAATATGATGTGTGTTGGGTAAGTCAGATTAAGAGAAGGTCTGAGTATGCGCACGTCACATTATGAGTAAGTATGCGTAAGAGTACGTTTGGGTATGAGTACGTCTGAGTATGAGTAAGTCTGTGTATGAGAAAGTCAGTGTGTGATTCAGTCTGGGTATGAGTAAGTGTGAGTATGAGTGAATCCGAGTAGGAGGAGACGGGAAGAGGAGAGGATGAGAAGAGGAAGGAGGAGGAGGAGTAGGAGGCGTCCAAGTAATAACAATATCCCCATCTTAGGAAAGTGAGACTGAGTATGAGTAAGTCTGAGTATGATTTGGTCTGGGTATACATGAATCTGATCATGAGAAAGTCTCAGTATGAGTAAGTCTGAGTATGACTAGGTCTGAGTATGCATGAGTCGGAGTAAGAGTAAGTCCGTGCATGAGTAAGTTTGATGAGGAAGAGAGGAAGGTGGAGGAGGGAGGAGAGGAGGGGTTCTTGTTCTGGCTGGAGTCGGCGCCGTCCAAGTAGTAACAAGAACCCCATCTTAGGATATGGTGAAAAAAACGCATAAACATTGACTTTTGGCGCTCCGCGCTGGATTTCTTGGCTCCGCGCTGGGCTCCCCCCGGCGGCGCCTCCGGCGCCGCCCCTGGCGCGCTCCGCGCGCCAGGGAAGGGGGTCCAGCGCAAATCCAAGAAACCCGCGCGGAGCGCCAAAAGTTTCTGTTCATGTGTTTTTGGTCCTTGTCTAGAGAGGCAACAGTTGTGCTGAGAGCTCTCCAGGGGTGCTATCTTTCTTTGTCTGAGTGCCATCAGCCGAGGAGCCGCGATCTTGCCTAGCCTTGAGCTCGAAGGCTAGCCGTGCTCATTGCGCCACGGAAATATGGCCCAGCGCAGCTCGGCTATTTGCTAGCTCGCCTGCTCCTCGGTTCATCTATACCTAGTAGGGATCCGCGGTCCTCCAGAACCTTTCAATTGCAATTTCCGTAGCAATGTTGGCTGAAGTTATTGTTTTCTGTTTTGGTTAGAGCCGTCGGATATATGTTATGCGCGGATGGCACGGGGCCGTGTGGAGACCTCCGATGGTTGGGCCTGTGCACTGGGCCTGTTGCCCGATTGTGTTGGCCCTGGTCTGCGCGTGGACCGTAGCACATCAGGCAAGTTCACCACTATTCGCTTATATGTGGCATGTTGTTCAGGAGCCACCACCTGTGATGCGGTCATCACTGGATCGCTGGGGTCCAATCCGGCGATGGGGTTGTAACAGGACAGAAACACCTTTCATTTTCGTTCACATTGGCAAGGCTGGCGGCGGGACAGTGCGCCGCAGAATTGTTGCGGCCGCCCTCAACTACACGAGGTCGGAGGACAGGACCAAGTGGGCCGACCGAGGTGCATATTATCCAGTGGATGTTCGCTTCGCTAACGGGACAAGCACCACAGTTTTGGCACGGTTCGACAATTCAGGCCATCGCAATTGGCGTCCGAATGGATCTTGGAGGTCATACGAGGGAACAATGCCATGCGTTGCACAGACGCCCATAGGCCAGGCCATCGCTTGCCCTGAGATTCGTCGCGAGTTGATTCCCAGGTGGCAGTCGAATTGCCCAGACGAATGTTGCGTTTATGTGGGCCACAATTTTGTGGGGAACGAGATGCATTGGCTTCCTCGCCCTTACTTGAAAAGGTGGTGGGAAGCAAATTATGGCCGTGACGTGCAAGGGAATGACCCGATTGGTCTGTTATTCAGTGTGGACAGTTCGCTGAACGGATCCCTTTGCAGCGACTTCGACCCGCAGATGGAGGATCGGGTTCGTTTAATCGCTTCGCTCATTCCGCCGGCCAATATTGCCTCGCCGCTTGGGTGCCGTGCTGGGGCCTCTTGGGGGCCTCTGGGAGGCAGTTTTGAGGCCTCTTGGGATCCGTGTTGGGGCCCTTGGGGCCTCTTGGGGGTCTCTTGGAGCATCTTGGGGTGCCTCTTGGGGGCTTCTGGGGGCCTTTTAGGGCTGTAGGCTGGACTTTTCGATTCCTGGTCCCCGTCTTGGGCCTCTCCTGGGGCCGTTTTGGGGCCCTCTTGGGCCATCTTGGGCGCCTCTTGGGCTATCTTGGGGCCGTCTTGAGCCGTCTTGGGGCCCTCTTGGAGGCTTCTTGGGCCGCCTTGGGGCGGTCTTTTGGACCTCTTGGGCCGTCTTGGAGCCTTGGAAAGCCGAAAAGACGAGAAATGCAGCACAGGCGAAACATGCACGTTTTCCAAAGGGAATGGGGCGACTCTTGCTTGTCAGGGCCCTCTTGGAGAGCCTCCTGAAGCTCTCTTGGAGCTTTTTCGCGGCCTCTGGGGCCATCTGGAGACCATCTTGAGCGTCGCGGGATAATTCTATGCCTCCTAGATGGGGTCCGAGTAGATGATGTCGGAGGATCGCGCCGCGTTGCCGATGCATCGCTGATGCGCTCGATGTGGAGTCCGTGCTTCTCCACGCCGACGTCGCCGATGCATCGCCGACGTCGCCGATGCATCGCCGATACGTCGGCGATGCATTGGCGCGACGCGGTGCGATCTTTCGATCCCATCTACTCGGACCCCATCTAGGATCGAAAGCTGGACGAGGGCTGCTAAAACCGTGGCTGCTGAAACGGCCCTCCCGGAAAGAAAAAAACAACTTCCCCGAAGGAGGCGCGGCACGCGAAACAGCCAACGGGCTTCTTCCCGGAAGGACGACAACTTCCCGGAGATCGATCTTAGCAGCCACGGATTTAGCAGCCCTTGCCCGGCTTCCGATGGGAGGCCTCAAGGATCTTTCAGCGACTCGGGGCCTCTGCGGCCGCGTAGGGGGCGTCCCGGCGACCTCTTGGCGCGTTCCTGGAGCGCCCCAGGGGAGTCGGCCTGGCATCGCCCGGGCATCGCCCGAGGTTCTTTTCGTCCTGGGGTCCTCCTCCTCCTCCTCCTTCCATTCCATTCCTCCTCCTCCTCCTCCTCCCATTCCTCCTCCTCCTTCTCCTCCTCCTCCTCCTCCTCCCATTCCTCCTCCTCCTCCTCCTCCTCCTCCTCCCATTCCTCCTCCTCCTCCTCCTTCTCCTCCTCCTCCCATTCCTCCTCCTCTTCCTCCTCCTCCTTCTTCTCCTCCCCCAGGGCCGCCACGCCGCGCGCGAACTGGAAATGTCGCGAACCTGTTATCGGAGAGCTACGCACGCCTCTGTCCCGTTGGGCCAGCGAATTTCGCGATAGAGTTGTGGACATGCTCCAGGACTCTTGATTTCAAAGTTGACGCTTGGGCGCATCAGACTGCAGCCGGACGGGAGTTCGCGCCCGTTTGGTCGTTCGCGTACGCGTCGCTGCCCCTGCTTCGCGTCACGCTGGTTCGAGAGACTTTCGACTGGCTTCTGTCCAGACACGGTTGGGATCGCTTGTATGAGAAACACAACCTGAGTTGCCACAACATCAGCGAGGCAGCATATTCGGTCCGATGGGGCGAGGGATCCCTGGAGATGATCTACGGGCCAGGCTGGGCCCACCGCCTTGCCCTCAGCTGTGTCCTCCAGCTGTGCGGCGAGGACTGCCTGGTCCGGTGGAACGAGGGGGTGGCGAGCATCGCCGAACTCGAGCGGCAGGCACGGGAGAATCTGCGCTACTCGTTCGCAGTCGTGGGGCTCTCGCACGAGCCCGAGGTGTTCTACAAGATGGTCGCTTCCTGACGAAAGAACAACACACGCCCATGCCCACAGGGGGGGTCGTTGGGAGGAGGACTGGCTATGGGCATGGGTTCGGGTTGTCGGACCCTGGGGAACCCTCCCGTTCGAGCGGGGACCCCCATCCGACAACACGCACCCATAGCCCTCTCCGATCCCCTATGTGTGTGTGTTGTTGGTTCGTCAGCTTCCCGCGTGCAATACATGAAGGCCCTGCCTTTCAGCGCGGACAATGCCGACCTCAGAGGAGCCAGCCACCGTGGATGCACCCCGAAGAGGCAGTGCAACAGTTGCAAGCAGCTGTACAGCCGCTCAGATGTCCAGCGGCAGTTCATCGAGGCATCTCCTGCGATCGCGGCCATGGATCGGCTCTTCCGCCTGGGCGTTGAGGTACACCGGTTCCAGCTGAAGGAACTACAGGCATGCGGGGCGTGAATAGGGCGTACCCTGTTAATTCCGTCTTTAGCATCGATTAGCGTCTGAGAGTCGATGTGAGAGCGTAGAATAAGCGTCGATTCAGCGTCGATTCAGCGTCGAATTAGCGCCGATGAGCGTCGATTCGCAAGAGCCGACAAGATGGTATGTGAGGCTCCCATGCGTTGCCACCGAACCTTTCCGAGCACGGCTGGAAGGGTTCCGCTGCGACATCCAGGCCTGAGCGTCCCCCCCTTGGACTCCTGATTATCTGTTGCACCTCGGACTCCTGTCTATCGAAGACGCCTACGGCGAATCACCGCCGCCCCCTGCCTTTTTGGAAGCGCCTGCGTGGCCGAAAGTTGGGTTTGAGCTTGGCCAAGCTATCGGGTCACGCGTTCCCCGAGTGGGTTTCGAAAGCCTTTGGGAAACACGGAGTCGGGCGAGCTATCGGACCAGGTGGTTTCCGAGCTTTCGGGCCTCCTGGAGGACGTCTTGGAGGGGTCTTGGGCCGTCTTGGAGGCCTCTGGCGGGCCTTTTGGGCAGTCTAAGGCCATCTTCAGGCCATCTGGGGCCATCTTGGATGCATCTTGGGGCAACCTTCGCCGTCTTGGAAGCCTCTGGCGGGCCTTTTGGGCAGTCTGAGGCCATCTTCAGGCCATCTTGGGCCATCTTGGATGCATTTTGCGGCAATATTCGCCGTCTTGGAGGCCTTCTTGGCCGTCTTGCAGGTATCGTGGAGCCCGTCTTGGCCGTCTTGGAGGCCATCTTGGGAGTCTTGGGCGCCTCTTGAGCCGTCTTGGGGTCATGTTAGGGCCCTCTTGGGGGCCTCTTGGCCTGTCATGGGGCCATCTTGGAGGCCTCTTGGGCGCTCTTGGGGCGATGTTGGGGGCCTCTTGGGCCGTCTTGGGCCGTCGGAGATCTGAAAAGAAGAAAATGCCAACATCCTTCAAAAACAAAAGGAAAATTAATGATCTTGGTCTTTTCGGGCCTTCCTGGTGGAGCTCTTGGAGACCTCTTGGGGCCTCTTGGGCAGTCTTAGGCCATCTTGGAGCCATTTTGGCCCTTTTGGGAGGCTTCTTGGGCGAACTTGAAGGCATCTTGGACTCCCTTGGGTCGTCTTGGGGCCATCTTGGACCATCTTGGGCGAACCTGGAGGCCATCTTGGAAGCCATCTTTGGAGCCATCTGGAGCAGGGAAAACTATTAGAACCACCCTGTCTGGGCCATTCCGGGACCCCGGCGGGCGGGGCCGAAATCCCAGGGGCATCTCTTTTGGGAAAAAGAACCAAAACCAAACGCGGAAGGATTCAGCACGCAGGGCACCCTTGTGATGGATGACTCAACGGGGTGCGGCGGATCGAAGACGCCTAGGGCGTAGGTCGTTTTTGAGCGAGCAATTGCTGTGTGGGGGGTGCCCAAGAACAGAGACTCCTAGGGGTGGGGGTGTCAGGGCCAGGTGGGGGGCATGGAGGGGGGCGTAGGTCGTTTTTGAGCGAGAAATGCTGGGGTGGGGGGTCTCAAGAACAGAGACTCCTAGGGGTGGGGGGTGTCGGGGCCAGGTGGGGGTGCATGGAGGGGGCGTAGGTCGTTTTTGAGTGAGAAATTGCGGTGTGGGGGGTCCCAAGAACAGAGACTCCTAGGGGTGGGGGTGTCGGGGCCAGGTGGGGGGCATGGAGGGGGGCGTAGGTCGTTTTTGGGCGAGAAATGCTGGTGTGGGGGGTGCCCAAGAACAGAGACTCCTAGGGGTGGGGGTGTCGGGGCCAGGTGGGGGGCATGGAGGGGGGCGTCGTTTTGAGCGAGAAATTGTGGGGTGGGGGTTTCCAAGAACAGAGTCTCCTAGAGGTGGGGGTGTCGGGGCCAGGTGGGGGGCATGGAGGGGGGCGTAGGTCGTTTTTGTGCGAGAAATGCTGGGGTGGGGGGTCCCAAGAACAGAGACTCCCAGGGGTGGGGGTGTCGGGGCCAGGTGGGGGGCATGGAGGGGGGCGTAGGTCGTTTTTGAGCGAGAAATTGTGGGGTGGGGGGGTCCCATGAACAGAGACTCCTGGGAGTGGGGGTGTCGGGGCCAGGTGGTGGGCATGGAGGGGGGCGTAGGTCGCTTTTGTGCGAGAAATGCTGGGGTGGGGGGTCCCAAGAACAGAGACTCCTAGGGGGGGGGGGGCAGAGCTGCGCAATCTAAGGAGATATTTAGTTTTTGGGATTGCGTTCCGTTTTGAAAGAGCGGGCCCTCTGTAGAGGTTGGGGGACGATTGGATGTGTGGGTCCCAGGAGGATGTGAAGAACCTCAGGACTCAATACACACTGCATGCTTCAATTGCAGCACTGCTCAATCATTTGATCTTGCTGCATGAGCGTTGAGCGACCGCGACGCACCATCTCCGTGCGTGAAGTAGTGTGCGTGCGCTTCTGGTCCATCCGTGCTCTGAGGCTGGACCTTGGCTTCGAGGCGTACAGGATCAATATCAATACCTTTCTCCTTTTCCCTTCACCCAGCCCCCTCCTGAAGTGTGAACGCTGCTGTATCTTTCAGAAGCCGTGGCCAGGGGGATGGATGCTGGCGAAGAGGGGACTGGGTTGGGACGGAAGGCGGCACACTCTAGTGCAAGGCTGGCTTGGTGCACTTTTTATGCAAAGATAGCATGTTGTTACAAGCCGCGGAAATTTGGCAATCGGCTGGTTTCCGCTGCCATCCACAGGACTTGCATTCATCCGGAGCCTCTTCCTCCTCCTCTTCCTCCTCCACCCCCTGTGTCTCATTGCGGGCGCCTGTGTGCTAGCGGCGTGACCGTGTCCAGCGCCCTTGAACGCATGGCGTTTCATGTGCCCGAATATTCGCCCAGCAGGCTTGAGCATGCCGTCGCAATCGCCCGAGTGTGGTGTCGTGTAGAGCCTGGTAGAGCTGGGTGCAGCTTCGAGTTTCTTTTGAATTCAACCAGTAACGACTCGCGTAAATTCAGCGCCATTTGAATTGCGCAGTAGGGAAACAAAAAAGAGTTTCACGGCGCCAACATCGCAGAGCTGATTTCGTTCGGAAAACAATCGGATGGGCCCAGAGTGTCCTGGAGAATTTCGTTTTGGATTTCGAAGTGAATTCTGTGCGTTTTTTTGGGGGGGCCAGGAGTAGGCTACAAAAAGTCCACGTGAAAGTCACTTCGTTTTTCGCTCGCCGCTTCGGGGTAGCATGGACAGAAATCCACGCAACAATCCGCTGCAGCACGTCTGCAAGGTCGGTGCAGTGGCAGGTTTTTGGGCCGTAACTCGGGTCCCCTGCGGCTGTTCGAGACGATCCGGGCACCCCTGGAACCTTCGCGACGAGACGCAGCTGCTGCATAACGCACCCCGAGGCTGGAACAGCAGGCGAAAACCGACGAATGCGCCCGAGAATCGAGGCGAGCGCCCGATAACCTCGCACCCGTAACTCCCCTCCTCGCGGGACAACGAAGGGGGCGGGCGGGGCGAGAGCTGGGCGGACCAAGGCGTCAGGGCTCTTTTAGGAAACACCTATGTGGCTTAACGCTGTGGCCAGAGGCCTGCCAGGCTATCGGACCATGTGTTCCCCGAATCGGTTTGGAAAGCGTTCGGGAAACACGGTGGGCGAGGCTGGGCCGACCTGGAGACCTCTCTTGGGATGCTCCATGGCCGTCTTGGAGGGCATCTTGAGCGTCTTGGAGGCCTCTTGGGCCGTCTTGGGGGCCTCTTGGGGCCGTTTTGGGGACCTCTTGGGCCGTTCTGGGGCCATACTGAGACCTCTTGGCCGATCTTCGGGGGCTCTTGGGCCGTCTCGGGCCGTCGGAAGGCCGGAAAAAGCAAATGCCACAATCCTTCAAAAACTCGTGGGAAATCAATGATTTGAACCTTTTCGGGCCTTCCTGGAGGCCCTCTTGGAGGCCTCTGGGGCTGTCTTGGGCCATCTTAGGGCCATCGTTGGCTGTTTTGGTGAGCTCCTGGCCCGTCTGATGCCGTCGGAAGCCGTTTGGGGGGCCTCTCTGGGCCGACTTGGGACCTTCTTGGAATGCTCCAGGGCCGTCTTGGAGGCCGTCTTGGGCGTCTTAAAGACCTCCTGGGCCGTCTCGGGGGCCTCTTGGGGCCGTCTTGGGGGCCTCTTGGGCCGTTCTGGGGCCATCTTGGAGGCCTCTTGGGCGATCTTGGGGCGATCTTTGGGGGCTCGTGGGCCGTCTATGGCCGTCGGAAGGCCGAAACGAAGCAAATGCCAAAATCTCTCAAAAACCTAAGGAAAACCAGTGATTCTGGCCTCTTCGAGCCCTCCCGGGGGCCCTCTTGGAGGCCTCTTGGGTCGTCTTGGGCTAGCCTAGGGCTGTTTTCGGCCATCTTGGTGGGCTCCTGGCCCGTCTGACGCCGTCGGAAGCCGTTTGGGGGGCCTCTCTGGGCCGACTTGGGGCCTTCTTGGTGTGCTCCAGGGCCGTCTTAGAGGTCATCTTGGGCGTCTTGGAGGCCTCTGGGCCCGTCTTGGGGCCCTCTTGGGGCCGTCTTGGGGGCCTCTTGGGCCATGTTGGAGGCCTCGTGGGCCCTCTTGGGGCGATCTTGGGGGCCTCTTGGGCCGTCTTGAGCCGTCGGACTGCCGAGAAGAAGCAACTGCCAAAATCCTTCAAAAACCTAAGGAAAACCAATGATTCTGGCCTCTTCGAGCCCTCCTGGAGGACCTCTTGGAGGCCTCTTGGGCCGTCTTGGAGGCTTCTTGGGCGACCTTGGAGGTATCTTGGACTCTCTGGGGCCGTCTTGGTGGCCGTCTTGGAGGCATCTTGGGCGAACTTGGAGGTATCTTGGACCCTCTTGGGCCGTCTGGGAAGCCATCGTGGACCATCTTGGGCGAGCTTGAGGGCCATCGTCGCTGTCTTGGAGGCCATCTTGAGCCGTCTGGGAGAATGTTTGCGGACGTTGAGGTCGTTTCTGGTCCTGGAAGGGCCTTCCGGGACCCTGGCGGGACGGGCCGAAGCCCCAGGGGGAGTTCTTTTGGAAAAAGGACCAAAACCAAAACCGAAATAGTTTGGCACGCCAGGCACCCCTGCGATGAATCGACAGGGTGCGGCGGATCGAATGGCCTTCGGCCCATCCCGCCACCGTGCCTGGGTTGTGGGTGTGAAGCCTATTGGATGTTCGTTGGGATTTCGTTTGGGACCTTCAGGGGGCCTCTTGGAGGAACTTTTTGAGCCTCTTGTGGGCAGTTTTGGAGCCTCTTGGGGTCGCTTTTGGGTCCCTGGGGGCCTCTTGGACGCCTCTTGGGGCCTCCTGGGTGCCTCTTGGGGCGGCAGGCTCAGATGTTCGGTTCCTGGTCCCCGTCCTGGGCCTCTCTTGGGGCCTGTTCGGGGCCCTCTCGGGCCCTCTTGGACGCCTCGTGGGCGCCTCTTGGGGCGCTCGTGGGCCGTCTGGGGCCTCTTGGGCCGTCTTGGGGTGGTCGTCGGGGCCTCGAGGGCCGTCCGGGAGCGTCGGAGCGGAGAATTGGCGAGAGCGCGACAGTCTTGCAAACACCCGAGGCGCATCACTGATGTGGCACCTTGGCAGGCATCTTCGAGGCCTCTTGGAGCATCTTGGAGACTTCCTGGGCCATCTTGGGGCCATTTGGGGCGTCTTGGGGCGATCTTGGGGCCCCCCTCCTCCTCCTCCTCCTCCTCCTCCTCCTCCTCCTCCTCCTCCTCCTCCTCCTCCTCCTCCTCCTCCTCCTCCTCCTCCTCCTCCCCCTCCTCCTCTGGGGCCGACTTGGGCCTCTTTGGGCCATGTTGGCCCGTCTTGGGGCCCCCTGGCTTCGAACAGGTCGCGCGAGAAGCCGCGAGAAGCCCCCGGGAGAAGATTTCGCGATGGGGCCTGGCCCTCCTCCTCCTCCTCCTCCTCCTCCTCCTCCTCCTCCTCCCTCCCCCTCCCCCTCCTCCTCCTCCTCCTCCTCCTCCTCCCTCCTCCTCCTCCTCCTCCTCCTCCTCCTCCTCCTCCTCCTCCTCCTCCTCCTCCCCCTCCTCCGAGGTTGAGAGGATGATGACAAGGACCTCAGGGCACGCCCACTCCGTGTCCAGAGGCACGGTGGCGGATCTGCATCACCATGATCATCCGGTGGTCATGGTTCTGACGGATCGCATCGCACTTCCGAGCTCCAGTGGGGAAGCCGTCGGGGGGTATTTCAGTTTGCTGTTGGTTGGAATCATGGGGGTGGCAGTGACTCGGGTTAGCGTAGCGGTTGGTAGATTGGGCCGAGGTGGCATATACTATCCAGGAGCAGCGATGACCCCATCCCCGAAGGGAAAACATGAGTTTGGACAACGAATCCCGATTGACCATCTCCTGCCCAGAAGGCGGGTGGGATCTTCAGCTAGGAGGCCCCATGCGAGAAGTTGTCCGGGTCGGTTTCGACGATGCCATGTTCGTAATTTTGGGCCCCGAGATGCCGGCTGTGAGGTGGTTCTGCCGAGCACGCATGAGACATCCTTGCATTTGTGGGCTTCGAGATGCCGTGCGAGAGATAGTCCAGCCCATGTCGCTTCAACATCCTCTCCGCTGTCCTGAGGCGGTCCAGCCCTTTCTGCTTGAGACATCCTTGCATTTGTGGGCTTCGAGACACGCGAGAGGTCCACCAAGCTTCCCCCAGACATTCTCGCAACTCGAGACCCATGGATGCCCTGACCTGAGGTGGACCAGCCAGTTTCGCTTCATACTTCGTCACAACTCTGGGCTCGGAGACGACCTGGCCTGAGGTCGTCCAGCCGTCTTCAACCGATACTTCCTCGTCATTCTGGGTTAGTCGATGCTCTTGCCTCACGTTATCTGATCCCGTTTCCTCGCTGTTCTGGGTTCGCAGTTGCCGTGGACCTTTCGTTTCGCTTGAGATATCCTTGCAACTCCGGGTTTATGTACTTATGGCCTGACTTCATGTTTTCCCAATCTTTTTCGCCTGAGACATCGTCGGGATTGTGTGTGTGTGTGTGTGTGTGTGTGTTCGGGGATGCCCTGACCTGATGTGGTTCAACCAATTTCGACCGAGATCCCCCCTTTCTGGGCTCAGAGATGTCCTGTCAGCGCTGTCGCCGATGTCCCATTCGACAATTTTGATCATTTGTCAGACTTTGCTGCTAGAGGCAGATATGTGAATCGGGGCAACTTGTCAAACGGGCGAGGGTAACTGGACATTGAATGAGGCGAGTTGCCATTCCTCTGCCCAGGGGGTTTGGGAGGAAATGATTTCACACGCCAGTCACCCAAAGGGGTGGGCGGACGCTGCCCAATGCTTAGCCTTGTTGTTTCGCAGCAAAACATATGAGATCACTTCGCCTTCAAGGCCGGCAGGTTCTGAAGGCATGGAGCGTCGCGTCAAGTTTGCGGGAGGGGTCAGTGATACGTCAGCACCAAGTTTGACCAGGCCGTCCATGGGCGTTCGCCGGTGGCCCTTGAGATGCCTGTCCAGGTTAGGAGCCTAGTTTCTTAGTCGATTCTTGGATTCCAGTTTCGGACCGATCCGCCGTGCGCCATTGAGATGTGTATCGATCCGGTATGAGGACTCGAAGGGTGAACCTCTCGCCCTCGGCGAAAGCCAACGCACGTAAAACGAGGACGTTGCGTTGGTGGAAGCTCGGCGGAAATTGGCGGGGGTACAGTGGGAGATTTCATGAGAGATCAACGCTGGCTTCCCAAGAGTTTTCGTAGGTTGCCAGCTGTTGTCCGACCTTTTCGCATGTCGTTTCCATGATTTGAGGTATGGAAAAGCCCTGTGCCGAGCTCGATCGTCCAACTCACTGACGGTCATTATATATATATATATAACATTCCCAAAGTGGACTGCAGAACGCAGGTTGCACAGATTTGGTTTCGCGCTTGCCGTGCGCATCCTGGTCGATTGTAACGTAGATTTCACGACATAGACACGCACACGCACGCGCATATGTATATTTGTCTGTGCATATAGGTGTACATATGCACATAGATGCGTACATTCAGACGTACACACATACACACATACATACATACATGCATACATACATGCATGCATGCATGCATGCATGCATGCATACATACATACATACATACGTACATACA